TCAGTCCTAAGACTGGTTGGACACGTACCTCCACTCTTTCCTATCCTGAGCTAAACTTCGCATTTCCCTAAAACTAGAACAGCCCACATCCTTAACTATTTGCGAACAGTAATCTAATCTAGGTCTACCTCTACCCCTCCTAACTCCTGTTTCTGTCTCTAATATGTCTCTGACTAGACCTAGATAATTAAACATAATATGTACCCCGTAGAGCATTTCCAATGGCAGAGAACACACCATACCGGCACCACAAATTAATATTTCAGATATAGATATGTATAAACTATACACAGTATAATCTCTGCTAGTTGAAATACTCTTTGATGATAGCACCATAAGCAGAAGATATATCAATGTTTTTCAAAACTTAATACTATAACAATACCAGGTGATTTTTATTTCTCTCCCTCTCTCCCGAACAAGTCAATTAAAAACCAATAAAAATAGAAAATCTTATAATTTCCACTTTCGACAGTATATCAACAACCTTTAATATTTACTGCTAATTCTTCCAGGTAATTTAGCATCTCTTACCGTTGGGCTCATCTTTACATGGACTTCTCCTATGTTACCGAAAATGAACAACAGTACAGGTACGTTAAACGAAAATCCTTTCGATAAACCTATTACGGACGAAGAGCAGTCCTGGATAGCATCTCTTTCATCCGCCGGAGCCATTTTTGGACCATTTGTTGCAGGATTCCTTGTCGATAGAATTGGACGTAAATGGACTTTAGTTTATATATCTGGGATTCCCATGACAACAGCATTTCTAATGTTGGCATTTGGTAAATTGCCAGTTGTATACTACGTGGCGAGGTTGATCGGTGGTTTGGGTTTAGGGACAGTTTTCACTGCTTTACCTATGTATATAGCAGAAGTTTCTGAAGCCTCAATACGAGGAGCTCTGATGTCGTTTTTTAATATTTTTGGAGTTAGTGGGCAACTAGTTTGTTATGCGTTGGGACCTTATATACCAGTTATGTGGTTCAGCATAATTTGCGCTACGTTTCCAGCTGCTTTCGTGATGTTGTTCTCGTTCTTTCCGGACAGCCCTCACTATTTTATATTGAAAAACAACATTCCCGCTGCCAAATCATCCCTTGCAAAACTTAGGGGTACGAACATAGGAGGAATTGAAAAAGAATTTGCAGTAATTAAGGAGAATGTGGAAAACGATATGAATAGTAGAGGCTCGATAATTGATGTATTCAAAAGTCGTGCTTTGAGAAAGGGCCTGTTGATATGCTTGGGTCTCGTAAGCATTGCGCAACTGTCAGGATTTCCAATTGTCTTAACATATGCGACTGATGTTTTTAACGCTTCTGGAGGCTCAATTAATTCCAACAATTCTTCCCTTATAGTTGGCTTAGTCCAGTTCGCTACAGCTTTTACTACTCCTGCTTTGGTGGACCGAAAAGGAAGGAAATTTTTGCTTTTGATATCAGCAATAGGAATGATGATATCAATAATACCACTTGGGGTTTACTTCTATTTAAAAGAAAATGACCACGACGTGAGCAATATTGGGTGGTTACCTATCGTTTGTATGATTGCTTACATTATCACATATAATTTTGGTTTCGGCCCGATACCCTTGGCGGTCATGGGTGAGGTATTCTCGGCTGATACGAAGGCTGCTGCTTCTACCATAACAGCAAGTTTTTGCTCGCTTATTGCTTTCATTGTCGTCAAACTTTTTGCTAACATACAAAGCGCTGTTGGACTCGGTGTGACCTACTGGATTTTTTCGGCCTTTTGTCTCTTAGGAGCGATTTTTACCTTTTTCTTTATGATAGAAACGAAGGGAAAAACGTTTGCCGAAATTCAAGAAGAATTAAGCCGATGAGACAATTGTAACGGTCATTTCTCCCAGCTCAGTTATGGTAATGCGCGCAGAGGGTTGAAACAATATAAATTTTTCAATGAGGTAGGTACAAAGATGGAAAAGGACCCTTTCTGGATCAATACGATAGGATACGATACGATTCAAATCGAATGCAACAAGATATTTGCAGTGGCGTACACAAAAATTACGTAAAATGTTTTATTAAACTGCTGTTTTTTTTACATCACTAACAACATTCAATTTTGCTAAAATCCTGGTAATTATCCAATATTGGGGCTCCAGACCAAAATTGCTCCAAATATTTTTTTATCAATTTCACTTCACAAATAAAAAAAAATTTTTTTGAATGATAATTTTTCAAAATTCAAATCACAGATCTAAATTGTAGGTACAGGAAGAGATGAGTGAAAAAATCAGGGGCCGAAGAGGGGGGGGGGGTGTTAATTGGTATACAAG